CACTACTCCCCCACCCTCCCCCACTCACCCCACTCCCTCCCCACCACCCACACCTCCCCCACTACCCCCACTCCTCCCCCACACCCACACCCCCAATTACCCCACCCTCCCCCACCACCCACACTCCTCCCTCACTCTCCACCCTCCCCTACTACCCACACCTCCCCCACCACTCCTCCCACTCCCTCCCCCACTCACCTCCACCCTCCCCCCACTCCACCTCCACTCCCTCCCCCACTCACTCCACTCCCTCCCCCCACCACCCACACTCCTCCCATCACTACCCACTCCTCCCCCACCACCCCACCTCCCCCACTACCCACACTCCTCCCCCACTACCTCCACTCCTCCCCACCACCTCCACCCCCCTCACCACCTCCACTCCCTCCCCTCACTACCCCACCCTCCCCACTCACCCCACTCCTCCCCACTCACCCACACTCCTCCCCATACCCCACCTCCCCACCACCCCACTCCTCCCCCTCACTACCCCACCCTCCCCTCACCACTCCCCACTCCCTCCCCTCACTACCCCCACCTCCCCCACCACCCCACTCCCTCCCCCACTCACCCCCACCCTCCCCTCACTACCCCCACCTCCCTCACTCACCCCCACCTCCTCCCCTCACTACCCCCCACTCCCTCCCCCACTCCCACCCTCCCCTCACCACCCCCACTCCCTCCCCTACCTCCCCACTCCTCCCCTCACTACCCCCTCCTCCCTCACTACCCCACCTCCTCCCCACCTCCACTCCTCCCCACTACCTCCTCCACCTCCCTCACCACCCTCCACTCCTCCCCCTCACTACCCACACTCCTCCCCTACTACCCCACTCCCCCCCTCACTCACCTCCACTCCCTCCCCACTCACCCCACTACTCCCCTCACTCACCCCCACTCCTCCTTCACTACCCACACCCTCCCTCACCACCCACACCCTCCCCCACTCACCCCCACTCCTCCCCCACACTCCCCACTCACTACCCCACTCCTCCCCATACCCCCACCTCCTCACTCACCCCCACTCCCTCCCCCCCACTACCCCCACTCCTCCCTCACTACCCCCACTCCTCCCCCATTCCCCCACCCTCCCCCACTCACCCCCCACCTCCCCCTCACTCACCCACACCTCCCCCACTCACCCCCACTCCTCCCCCACACCCCACTCCTCCCCCACTCACCCCCACCTCCTCCCCTCATACCCCCACTCCCTCCTCACTACCCACACCTTCACCCTCACTCACCCATACACTCCTCCCCTCACTACCCCCACCTCCCCCCACTTACCCCCCACCTCCTCCCCACTCACCCCCACCCTCCCTCACTCACTCCCCCACCACTCCATCCCTCATCACTCACTCCCCACTCCTCCCCCCCCATTACCCCCACTCCTCCTCCCTCACTCACCCCACTCCTCCCCCACTACCCCACCTCCCCCACCACCTCCACTCCTCCCCCATTACCCCCACTCCTCCCCTCACTACCCCCACTCCTCCTCACTACCCCATCCTCCCCACCACCTCCACCTCCCCACTACCCCACCCTCCCCACCACCTCCACCCTCCCCCACTCACTCCCCACCTTCCTTCTACCCTCCCCCCACCCTTCATACACTCCTCCCTTCACTCATCCTCCCCCTCTACTCCACCCTCACTCACCCACACTCCTCCCTCACTACCCACACCTCCCCTCACTACCTCCACCTCCCCCACTACCCCACTCCTCCCCTCACTACCCCCACCCTCCCCTCACTCACCCCCACCTCCCTCCCCCACACCCCCACTCCCTCCCTCATTACCCCCCACCTCCCCCACTCACCCCCACTCCCTCCCTCACTCACCCCCACCTCCCCCCACTCACTCCCCCCACCCTCCCCCACTCACCCACACCCCCCCTCACTACCTCCACCCTCCCCCACCACCCCCACCTCCCCCACTACCCACACCTCCCTCACCACTCCACCTCCCCTTGCACCTCCACTCCTCCCCCACACCCCCACCCTCCCCCTCACTCACCCACACTCCTCCCTCACTACCTCCACTCCTCCCCTCACTACCTCCACTCCTCCCCCCACTACCCCTACTCCTCCTTCTACCCCTTGCCCTAACCTCTTCATTACACCCATCCCTCTTGTCACTACACCCGCCCCTCGTTACCTCCACCCCTCACTACCCACACTCCTCCCCTCACTACCCACACTCCTCCCTCACTACTCCACCTCCACCCCTCACCACTCCACCTCCCCTTCACCACTCCACCTCCCCCACCACCCCCCACTCCTCCCCCACTACCCCCACCCTCCCCACTACCCCCACTCCACCCCTCACTACCCACACTCCCCCACTACCCACACCTCCCCTCACTACCCACACCTCCCTTTCTACACCCTGCCCTTGTTACCCCTGCCCCTCACTACCCTGCCCACCCTTCATTACACCCATCCTCTTCTGCTCACTACTCCCCGCCCTCACTTCTCCCATTTCCTCACTGCCCCTCACTCCTCACAACCTACACCCTTACTATCCTAGCACCTCACCACCCTAGCACCTCACCACCCTAGCACCTCACCACCCTAGCACCTCACCACCCTAGCACCTCACCCATCACACACACCTCGAATATTTGTACTTGTTAAACACTATAGTGTAGTGTGTATTTTATTAAGATCTTCTTATTTATATATATATATATATATATATTGGCGTTGGATCACTCCCCTTGAACAAACACTCTGGTAACACTGCTCCCCAACACTCCCTCCCTTGCATATCTGGTGCTATACTGGCTGCACCACCTTCATATCACGCCAACTGAGTATCGATTGGTGGGATTGTGATGGTGGCGGTGCCATTATTTGCAGAGCCAGGCTGGCTGGCCGGGCGCAGGGGAGGTGCCAGTGCCACCCTCGCTGCCACCTCTCTGGTTCTTTGCCTTAATCTGCCCTCCTGGCCGAGCTACACAGATTATTAGTGTTGTCTTCATGATGAGGTTATGTTATTACAGCAGCTGAGGTTGAAAATGATGCAGGTTGATGTGTGGAGGAGGAGTGCGTCCGTCTCATAGCAGCGGCCGCCAGCCCCGCCCACTTGTCAATACGCCCCGCCTACTGGCCCCAAAGCCGCTCTCATTGCTCACAAAACACCCACAGCCTCGCTAAATATATCACAACCCTTTCTTCACTAAGTCCCAGCCGCTGGAGCCAACTCGTACCCTGCCCTGAGTTTTGCTCAGCTCCAACAACTGCGGCAGAGACCAGCACCCCTCCCCACCTCCCTGCTTCCCTCACATCGCTCCATTGAACTGTGATTTAGCCACACCCATCCTTCACAAGGGCGTAACTGGCCTCCATAAAACCCCGCCCACTTTATAAAGTGTGAACCCCAGACAACCAGCACCGCCCACCAACCCACCCCACACACAAGTCTACCCCATCATGCATACCTCCCTCCCCATCCTCTTCCTTCCCACCTGCTGTGAAAACCACCAAAATATAACATATTTCTGGTAAAGCAGTCAACTAGCTCTTGCCGAGAACCTCCCAGCCTTGATCACGCCCAGTCCCTCCACCCCGCCTAAACCCTGGCATTATGGCCGTGGTGTCTGCTGTGTTTGTCCTTTAGTAAATTACACAATACTAAAAATATTCCTCTGATAAGTAGTATAAGTTGTTCATAATACTTCCCTTCATAACCCTTCCACGTTGGACGCTCACTCTCCTCTGTCCCTCAATATTGCGACATTAAATCTTTGCTACGTATTACTGACACCAATGTAGTTCATGGATTAAGACAAATTTTGCTGAATTGATTTGCATATGTGATATAAATCGAGAATGATGGAGTATACAAAATATTATAGAAAGTATATACAACATTTTTTCTTCCCGGTTGGTTTAAAAAGAGTGAAGTTGTAGTGACGTGTGTTGAGTGATATTGGTGATCGTTTCTGCGTCTGGTCAGAGAGTGTATTGAGGTCATGGAACTTTTACCAGGGTACACACACACACACACACACACACACACACAACACACATATCCTGTGTGAATCTTGCTACAACACATTACTGTATTGCACTGTGTATATTAATGTGTCCCAGTTTGTTTTACCCTTCACCTCTGCTGCATGGCTGTGATGTATGGCTGTGTAGGTCACGTAGCAAAACACAGTGCTTTATGGCAGTAGTTATGTGTGTGTGCAGCAGAGTAAATTGTAATGTCTTGTACACTGCGGGAGATCTGGACATAACCGTGGGCGAGACTCGGCTTGCTGACCAGCTCACACTAGCCTAGCACTTGGTACACGCCAAGTCTGCTCTTTGAGGAGGAGTTTGATGTTGTGTGCATTGTAGCTAAACGTCCGTGAGAGGCATGGTTGGGTTGGCTGCACCGTAGACCAAGTCAGAGTATCCCTGCTGACCTTCTCTATCTCGTGTACCTCACCAGGAGTAATATGTACCCAAGAAATACTTATTACCTTAAGGGTTATGATCGAGTTTTGTATTAAAGAAAGAGTCAACGAGAGAGGTGGTGACTTGCCAGATCTCCAGCAGTGGTGTTCAGCTTGCCGTCTGGTGCCCCCAGCCTCAGTTTCTTCCAGTGATTCAGTTTTCTCACTTCCCGATACGAGAGAGTCACAGGGAAACGCCTTACTCGTCACCTGAGACAAGTTTCCAACACACACTAATACCATCTTATAGCTCGAGTAAAAAATGACCCGCCAAAAAAATAAATAAATAATAAAAGGACAAATAGATGAACATGAATAATCACACGAAGAGCTCAAACAACGTTTATGAAAAAATGCATTCGATACATAGACGTCTCAGAAATTGCTTTGATCATTCCAGTCAGACTTTATTGCAATAATGGTTCCTTTGAAGATTATTACAGTCAGTTTGCAAAAAAAAAAACGGATGATCCACTTTGAAAATACCGAAACGCAGAGTGAGCCTTCAGTAGTTTGATGAGATAATTTTATCTCTTTGCAGATCGAATGCCGTCATGACATCGGGAATGGAGAGAAAGCTGAATGCTGGAAAGGCGGGAAAGTCTGGGAAAGGGAGCGGTAGGGGGCGTCCCAGAAAAGGGAGGGAGTGAGAGGAAGCAGGAAGGACAGGGAGGAGGAGGGGAGAGGGAGGAGATGGCCAGGAGGAAAGTGGAGAGAGTGAGAGTACCCAGACCAGGGACAGTACCACCATGGTCACCAGAAGGACAGTTTCAGCAGACGCGGTCGTCAGGACACTCTCTAGTCCTCAACATAAAGGAAACTCGTAAACACACACACACTACACAAAGTTGTGGTGTGAGTCAGCGGGGTGATGGTCCCAGGAAGACAGAGAAAACCACCAATATTCCTCCTACGAAAGACAAAGGCAGAAGAGAAAAGGCAAATAAGGTAAAAGAGAAGACCAAAGTGAAACAGCGAACTAATAGTCCCCAAAAAGTGCACAAAACAAACGAACACAAAAGCAATAGCCCCTCCCGTTCACCCGTCCGAGAACCCCCAGATAAAAGTGACACAGAAAGAGACACGTCGGAGTCCGAGTCTGTGAGTAATAATAGTAAAGAGGTGAGTGTCGCGTCCTCACCTTCTCGTCGACGTCAGCAGCTCAGACACCCATCAAAGGACGATAAACAAGAATCAAGTTCTTCCTCAACCAAAACTACAGCGCTTCCAGCATCCTCCGAACCTTTAGCTTTAACTAGAACAAGTAATCTAAGGGATCCTAAACCTCCGAAGGAACCCGAGAAAGATCAGAAGGATCCCTCTGAAATGGGTCAATACCCCAGGGACGCTCTGCTCTCTCGGTGGATCGAGTGCAGATCTGGAAAATTCGGTGGTAGTTCACAGTCGCTTTCCAGTGGTCAGTCTCGACCCCTCATGTCCCACAAGTTGAAGCCGTCACCGTTCCAGAACCTCATGGCGGCACAAGAACTCCTCAAGAACCAGAAAGACTCAGAAAGGGCAGATAAGATAAACACGGAAGCTTCTAGTGATTCCAGTGACTCTTCAGGTGCTACACAAAAGAAGACTAAAAGATGGTGAGATTAGTTCGAGCCGCCTCCCGACCACAACCACCATTACCACTACTACCACAACAACCACCACTACGACCACCGACGACGACGACGGGGGCGACGACGACGACGACGACGACGAGGACGAGGAAGAAGACGAAGGCCCACAAGACCTGTCCAAACCTCGAAGTAGACCGAGTAGTCAGACCAGCGACGATGGCTCCGAGATATCCGACGACGCCAACAAAACCGTCGGCTCCAACGATTGTTTCGCCGACGATGACGACGACGACGAAGATGATGATACAAGCAACGAGATGCGTATTGTTGAGGATGAGAGTGAACTGCGCGAGCTTGATCTCTCGATGCCAGGAAAGCACAAACCAGAGGCTTTGAGTAAAGTGAGTGAACAGAACCAGAAGAACGAGATTAAGAACCTCGATTTTTCCGTTTTTAAGTCGCATAAGGCCAAGGATACCAAGAGTTCAAAGGCTTCATCAAGTTTGGATGACCAGAATGCCGCCGCCTGTCTTCTCCAGCTCAAGTCTTCCTCTACTCCCCAATCTCCATATGTTGTCAAAATCCTCTCGCCCGAACCCGCCCACCAATCCAGCCTCCTGCTCCCCGGCCAGCCAATGAGAGCACCATTCGCAACCAGAGCTCCACCCCTAGAGGCTCCTCAACCTATCATACCGTCGCTTGGCTTGGGTGAGAGTCGGTTGGTCACTTATCCAAAGTGGTCGATGGGCGTGGTATGAGGCCCTTAGTTCCCCCGGGCCCCGAACAGGGTAGGTTCCCTCTTACCCTTCCTTGTAGGGTCATCTATTGCTTGCTTTTGGTGGGTGGTGGTGGCGGCGCAGGCTGGCAGGCTGCAGCATGCAGGGCACATCACCACGACCTGCCGGCCACACCCACACGCCTGCTGCCTCCTCCTCCTCCCTTCTCTCCCCCCTCCTCCTCTTCCTCCGCTCCTCCCAGCCTCACCCTCCTCTCTTATTATATCCTTCATCATGCTCACATGCTCAATATTCTCTTGCTCCTTTAACTCTTGCAGATATTACTTGTGACGCTTTATATATTTATATATAATATTTATGTATTTAGGTAGATAGATGAGTGAAATGTATATATATATATATATATATATATATATATATATATATATATATATATATATATATATATATATATATATATATATATATATATATATATATATATTTCATAAATCCAATGAAAAAGATAAATTTGATAAAATCATGGAAATAACGGAGTATTTACACTTTCGTCTTTATTCAAGACATCTTCAGAGGCAACTGAATAAAGACGAAAGCTAAGTATTCGTTGTTTCCATTTTTTTATATATATATATATATATATATATATATATATATATATATATATATATATATATATATATATATATATATATATACAGAGAAGTAAATAATATTTATACACGTGTTACAATATAAAGTAAATGACAGTATATGACACTGGTGTTGTAAGAGGAAGGTGACGGGTGGGTGAGGCTGTGGGGTATTGACCGTTGAGGTCACGTCCACCTCCGTCTCTTACCACACACCAGTAAGAGTCCTCTCTCACCCACACCAGTAAGAGTCCCTCTCACTCACACCAGTAAGAGTCCCTCTCACTCACACCAGTAAGAGTCCTCTCTCACTCAGCAAGAGTCCCTCTCTCACTCACACCAGTAAGAGTCCCTCTCCCACTCACACCAGTAAGAGTCCCTCTCCCTCTCACACCAGTAAGAGTCCCTCCCTCACTACACCAGTAAGAGTCCCACTCACACCAGTAAGAGTCCCTCTCCACTCACACCAGTAAGAACTCTCACACACCAGTAAGAGTCCCTCTCTCACACACACCAGTAAGAGTCCCCTCTCTCACCCAGTAAGAGTCCCTCTCTCACTCACACCAGTAAGAGTCCCTCTCACACACACCAAGAGTCCCCTCTCACACACACCAGTAAGAGTCCCTCACCCCAGTAAGAGTCCCTCTCCACCACACCAGTAAGAGTCCCTCTCTCACTCACACCAGTAAGAGTCCTCTCTCCCCACCACACCAGTAAGAGTCCTCTTCACCACACACCAGCAAGAGTCCTCCACCACCCATCAGCACGAGTCCTCTCTCACCACACCAGCAAGAGTCCCTCTCACTCACACCAGTAAGAGTCCCTCTCTCACTCACACCAGTAAGAGTCCCTCTCTCACCACACCAGTAAGAGTCCCTCTCTCACTCACACCAGTAAAAGCCCTCTCTCACTCACACCAGTAAGAGCCCCTCTTTCACTCACACCAGTAAGTCTCTCACCACGCCAAGAGTCCTCCACTCACCAGTAAGAGTCCCTCTCTCACCACACCAGTAAAGTCCTCTCACCACACCAGTAAGAGCCTCTCTCACCTCACACCAGTAAGAGTCCTCCTCCCTCCCACCAAGTCCCTCTCTCACTCACACCAGTAAGAGTCCTCTCTCACTCACACCAGAGAGTCCTCTCACCACGCCAATAAGAGTCCTCTCACCTCACACCAGTAAGAGTCTCTCTCACCACACCAGTAAGAGTCCTCTCTCCACCACGCCAATAAGAGTCCTCTCCACCACACCAGTAAGAGTCCTTCTCTCACTCACACACCAGTAAGAGTCCCTCTCTCACCACGCCAATAAGAGTCCCTCTCCACCACACCAAGAGTCCTCTCTCCCACCAGTAAGAGTCCCTCTCTCACCACACCAGTAATCCTCTCTCTCTCACACCAGTAAGAGTCCTTCTCTCACCACACCAGTAAGAGTCCCTCTCTCACTCACGCCAATAAGAGTCCTCTCACTCACGCCAATAAGAGTCCTCTCACTCACACCAGTAAGAGTCCTTCTCTCACCACGCCAATAAGAGTCCTCTCCACTCACACCAATAAGAGTCCTTTCCTCACCACACCAGTAAGAGTCCCTCTCTCACCACGCCAATAAGAGTCCTCTCTCACCACACCAAGAGTGTCCTCTCTCACTCACACCAGTAAGAGTCCCTCTCTCACCTGGTAAGAGTCCCTCTCTCACCACACCGTAAGAGTCCTCTCCCACCCACACCGAGTCTCTCTCCACCACACCAGTAAGAGTCCCTCTCTCCACCACACCAGTAAGAGCTCTCTCTCACCACACCAGTAAGAGCCCCTCTCCACCACGCCAATAAGAGCTCTCTCACCCCCACCAGTAAGAGTCCTCTCACCCACCACACCAGTAAGAGCTCCCCACCTCACACCAGTAAGAGCTCCCCTCTCTCACCACACCAGTAAGAGCTCCCTCTCTCACCACGCCAATAAGAGTCCCTTCACCACCACACCAGTAAGAGCTCTCTCACCACACCAGTAAGAGCCTCTCTCCACCACACCAGTAAGAGCCCCCACTCACGCCAATAGAGCCCTCTCCACTCACGCCAATAAGAGTCCCTCTCACACTCACACCAGTAAGAGCTCTCTCCCCTCTCACACCAGTAAGAGCCCTCTCTCACCACACCAGTAAGAGCTCCCTCTCACCACGCCAATAAGAGCTCCTCTCTCACCACACCAGTAAGAGCCCTCTCTCTCTCACTCACACCAGTAAGAGTCCTCTCCCACTCACACCGGAGTCCTCTCTCACTCACACCAGTAAGAGTCCTCTCACTCACGCCAATAAGATCCTCTCTCACTCACTCACACATGTACAATATTGCTCAGTGTGTGATAAGTTCATTATTGATCATAATATTACACACTGACGATGATAACTTGGTGTCATGTTATATACAGTATATGCCATACGTTTAAAGTTAATTGCAAAATAGCGATAACTTTTTTGCCAACAATCAAAGAGGTGTGTGTGTGTGTGTGTGTGTGTGTGTGTGTGTGTGTGTGTGTGTGTGTGTGTGTGTGTGTGTGTGTGTGTGTGTGTGTGTGTGTGTGTGTGTGTGTGTGTGTGTTGTCATAATGAATCACATCATTATTTGCTTTACCTGACTTGACTTCTATTCATCTATAGTTTGGTAATGTTATAGATTAATGGTAAACAACATCTTTAAAACAATAAATTTCACCATCCCGATATATGAACTAATTTACAGTAAGTCACAGAAATAATAACAAAAAGGTTATCCCTATTTAGCTAAAAACTTGAGCTGTGATTTAAAGTTTCATCAGAAAACTGCCTCAATTTATTTTAATATATAAAATGTTATATAATGTTAAAAAAAGGTTAGCATAGTCAGGGCCAGGGTAGTGTAGGTGTAGAGTGGAAGGTAGAGAACTGTACTGAGTTTATTAATATATGATATATTTATTATTATAACTTAGAGAATAAACATTTATATACATGTTGATTCACCTTCTTATGATTATATTATGCTAACTATCAGGTGTTACTGTGTGTGTGTGTGTCTGCCGCCTGCCAGGGTAAGTCGTCAGTGAGGATGGTCTGCCACCTCACACTTATGTACATCTATATTTATACAGTATATAATATGTGCTTTGTGGATATGTGAGGGCTGTGGGTAAAGGCTGACATGTTGGTTAATGGGTCGTGATCTGTGAGTGGGGCCTGCCTGGCTGGTGGTGTACGCTACCTGGCTGCAGGTGAGGGGCTGTGGGTGAGGGTTACCAGGCTGTAGATGAGGGCTACCAGGCTGTGGGTGAGGGTTGGCCAGGCTGTGGGTGAGGGCTGACCAGGGGTGGGGTTACCAGGCTGTGGGTGAGGCTACCAGACTGTGGGTGAGGGTTACCAGGCTGTGTGAGGGTTACCAGGCTGTGGATTAGGCTACCAGGCTGTTGATGAGGGAACCAGGCTGTGGGTGAGCTACCAACCTACCAGGTTACGGTTGGGGGTTACCAGGCTGTGGGTGAGGGTTACCAGGCTGTGGGTGAGGGACACCAGGCCAGGTGAGGGCTACTGAGCTGTGGTTGAAGACGTTTGGGCCGTGGGTGGGGGCTACCAAGTTGTGGGTGAGGGCTACTGACCTGTGGGTGAGGGCTATCAAGCTGTGGGTGAGGGCTACTGACCTGTGGGTGAGGGCTACCAAGCTGTGGGTGAGAGATACCAGGCTGTGGGGAGAGCTACCAGCCTACCAGGCTGTGAGGTGAGGACTACCATCCTGTGGTGAGGGGCTACCAGACTATGGGTGAGGGCTACCAGGCAGTGATTGGGGGCTACCAGGCTGTGATTGGGGGCTACCAGGCTGTGGTTGAGGGCCACCAGGCTGTGGGTGAGGGCTGCCATCCTGTGGGTGAGGGCTACTTGGCTGTGGGTGAGGGCTACCATCCTGTGGGTGAGGGCTACCAGGCTGTGGGTGAGGGCTACCATGCTGTGGGTGAGGGCTACTGGGCTATGGGTGGAGGGCTACCAGGCTGTGGGTGAGGGCTACTAGTCTGTGGGTGAGGGCTACCATCCTGTGGGTGAGGGCTATACTAGGCTGAAAGTGAGGACTACCATGCTGTGGGTGAGGGCTACTAAGCTGTAGGTGAGGGCTACTAGGGGCCATCTTGTGGGTGGCAGGCTACCATCCTGTGGGTGAGGGCTACTAATCTATGGGTGAGGCTACCATGCTGTGGGTGAGGGCTACCATGCTGTGGGTGAGGGCTACCATGCTGTGGGTGAGGGCTACTAAGCTGTAGGTGAGGGCTACTGGGCCATCTTGTGGGTGGCAGGCTACCATCCTGTGGGTGAGGGCTACTAAT